CTGCCCTCTGGCTGCTGCCTCGCGGGCTCTGAAGCTCTCTGGGTAGGTCTGCTTTCCTGTCCCAGGAAGACGTCTCCTAGAGTGTCTCTGCGGCCCTCGCCAACAGGATCCTGGCTTTCTGCAGAGCAGACCAGGGCCTTGCTCGCCCATGCTGGCCTCACGCTGGCCAAGCCACTGTGCCTGCAGTCAGAGCTAAAGAACCCCTGCTGACAGTGCCATTCCCATGTTGGTGTCTGGGTGACTGGGAAAGCCTAGCACCGCTGTTCTTCAAATTTATCTTTTAGAAATGAGGAAATGTTTCAGATGTGCAGAGCAAGTACAGAGGATATGAAACCGCTCTGACCCCAGCTTGAGGGTTTGACATGCTGTCCTGCTTCTCGACAAGTCAGAGCCTCCAAGAGAAAACCTAGAATCCAAACAGCATATTAACCCACCTCTCTGACTGTGGTCTTAGGGCCTGTTTTATTTTTTCTAAAGCACAGACACTGCATTTAATCCCAAGTACCGTGTAAAGAGCATATATAAAGCATTTAAAGAGCATGCAGATCCGTCACTGGGATGCCCAGGCTACTTTCACTGCCTCCTAGTTCTTGACAGGGGCTGAACAGAGTTCTATCTCACTGCCTACCTGCAGCGGGCACCACAAAGAAAACGGGGAAGGGTGTCTGCGGCAATGGAACTTGAGGAGCTTCCTGGGACAAGTGCCATGTGTGTATTGAAAACATACACGTAGGTGTGTTCAGCTGTTGTGGTGAGTGTCGTGGTGATCTGAGTGGTGTTCATTTTCCTAAAAGCAAACTTTTGTCACTCTCTTTTTCTTTTATTAAAAAAAAACCATAGGAACTCCACTGAAAATTTAGAAAATTCAGATAAATGGAAAGAATAGAGCCCCTCTTAAAGCAGATGTCATTAGCTTTCTCTTGCAAACACTTGCAGTCTTTTTCTATGTGTGTGCATATTCATTTGCACATACATATGTCTTTGACATGCGGGATCACTGGGAATGCACTTGGCAAGGAGAACATGCATGTCATGTTAAACTATGTGGATCTGGAGCTTGAGGCAAAGGAAAGTTTTTATAGGCAAAATGATGAGAATTGCATAAGTTATTTTGAAATAATAATCCTTCACTACAAGAAGCCTTAACAAGTGTGGTCTCTGCCAAGGTTAGATAGGCAGTTGCTGGGCCAGTGACCTCTCAGAAGTTCTTTTGTGTAAGATCCTGCTGGCCTTTGTGCAAGGCTGTGCTTCTGGCGGAGTCCTTACAGTAGTTCTTGTTATCAGGCAGGCAGGAGGCATTTAGGAGATGCTCTCCTTCATTATGTTTCCGTTTTCTTTAGGTATGTATTTTCGTTGGGGTTGACATAAGTTGATTCTATCAACTTCCATCGTTTAGGGACCTGCTTTTTATTTTTTCATTTTCTTTATAGGGCTAACATTTTGCTTTACTCTATCATTACATATTATTCTACAAAATCTTATTCAACCTGGCAGATACTCTGAAAAAGAATTTTAGAAATATTTAGGCTCCCTAGATAAGGAGTTTTAAGAGATAGTTTTGCGGTCGTTGATTTCTATTCTCCCTATCCATCATTAGTATAGGAATTAGAGACTAAGTCGCACTTAAGACTGGAATCCTTTTCTTCCAATGGGTGCCTCGGCACATCTGCCCATATCTGCTGTTCCCAGGGTTCTGGGATACAAGGTCTGTGATGTGCAGAGGTCTGGGCCACAGTGGAGCCGCATGGGTTTTCTGAAGAACAGCAGTGAACTTGCTGCCAGTATTCAAAAGATCCTCCAAAGACACAAGTGTCTTTCCAAACACCAAAAAGTAGAAATATGTAATAAACCTTTTCTTAAATATGTAATAAACCTGGATGGTGAGGTGGAAGAACAAATTTTTAGAACATCTAGCTGTGTACTCATAATCCCAGCACTCTGGAAGTCTGAGGCAGAGGATCACAAATTCAAACCCAGCCTGTGCAGCTGAGCAACTTCGCGAGACCCTGTCTCAAACTAAGAAAATAAAAAGTGCTGGGGAGCTCAGTATAAAGCCCCTGAGTTCAGTCACCAGTACAGATAATCCCATTCAATGACCAACTTGTTTAACGACGGCGCGGGCTGACAACTGAAGTGTATTGTTTCTTTGTTCTGAATATTATAACCTACATACTATATATAATTCCTCATTTGGCAACCAAGGAAGACAGGAACGTAACTCGGTTGTTAAGCCAGCAGTGTCTATACTTCAATAAATAAATGAGCAAGCAAGCCTAGTCCTTTGCAGGCTTTTTGGCAAACAAGAAATGGAAACAACGTTCTCATTTCCCTTTTAAAAATACACATGTGATCCAAATACTCTTTTCGATTTGTCTTGCTTTCGGAAGCGTTTTCTTGGTAGGTCCCTGACGTCCTTTGTAACTGTGTAACTCTGGAAAATATTGTGATTAAAAACACTTTTACTTTAGGCTGTTGTTCTAGGAGCGTTTCTAAGCCTTAGTTTCTTCCTCTCTGAAACGGGAAAGATAATAACGTGCATTTCAATAAGATTGTTGTGAGTGTTAAATGAGATAATATATGCAGAGCAATTCCTAATGCTTAATCAATGTTTTATGGCTATGAAATGCTATTATTTCCTGTTAATATTATTGACAAAAATGAACAACTGATTGAATTTAAGGTTGAACAGCGAACTACGATATATGTTGGTAAATGTTAAAATCCTTTGTTTCTGCCTGCTATGTATAAACTGGTAGATGAATACATGAATGAATGCCATGGCACTTGCTCGGCTCATTGCCCACCAAACATAATGATGTGGTATTTGTTTTACTCTTCATGGTGCTGGAGATTAGAACTAGGGAGCACTGTGCTCACCTCTTTAAACTGCTTTTGTTTTGTGTTTATGAGACAGGATCTCACTATCTAATTCAGATTGGCCTTAAACTCACTATGTAGCCCAAAATGGCCTCAGACTCATGGCACGTCTCCTTCCTCAGTCTCCTGAGTACTGGGATTACAGGCATGTGCCATTAATCCCTGTTTAAATTTATTTTACACAAGGTCTTGCTGAGTTTCCTAGGCTGGCCTTGAATTTATGATTCTCCTGCCTCAACTTCTCCAGTGGCTAGGATTACAGGTGTGCACAGAGGTACCCAGCCATAATGTGATGTTTTAACTAGTGCATGTTCTTAAAAATCTGTCCCATGTATCCGCAAACGTTCAGGACAACTTGTTTTCCAAGTATCTTTGTTCCTATGGTCAAGTGCACACAGGAAGTCTGGGGAGGGGACTGTTACACAGAGAGATACATTATGTTTGTTTTTGCTGACATTTATTTGTTGGAAGAAACTTGCAGCGACTCTTGGCAACTTTCCAATTAAACCCCCACCTGGTATTGCTGGTCTGTCGTTAGTGCTGAACATTTAAATCCGCACACCCGAGTGTCGCTGTAAGATTACAGACCTTCATGTTCTTCTGCAGCATTCCAGTGGTTTTCATCTGGAGCAGAGAGCCGTGGCTGATGTTTGCTTTGGGATTCTTCTAGGTTCCTCTGAGCAGGAGGCATGCAAGGTTGTCTTGGTTACTTTTCTCTTGTTGCTGAGACAAAATATGCAATGTCCAAAATGAAAGAAGGAAAGGCTTATTTAGCTCACAGTTCATGGAGGTCTCAGTTCTTGACCAGCTGGTTCCTGGGCAGGGTGGCGTGCAGAGAAGCAGCTGTTCACGGCAGCAGAGGACAGCAAAAGCAGTAAGAACAAACAAGGAAGAGAGACAGAACAAACGTCTTTTCCTCCCTCATACTGTACACGGGTTAACCCAGGGGGTGGCGGTCACACCTCCAAACCAGGACTAGACAATGAACCAGACACAAACTCTAGATCCAGCTGCCTCTGAAAAATCGTCCCCTCTCATGACTACATGAGGCTTTGGGAGACATGCAGACACAAATCATAACAATAGTCAAACGACCTGAGTCTAGGCATCAGACCTCCGTGGAATGAGGGATCGCCAGGTTCTTTGACACAGTTTGACACACTTGGTTTGTTTTGGTTTTTTTTTTTTTTTTGAGATGGAGTTTTACTTTGTTGCTGAGGTTGACCCCAAATTCCTGGGCCAGGTGATCTTCCTGCCTCAGTCTCCCAAGTGCCTGAGACTACACGTGCATACCACTGTGCCTGGCTTTGACACACTTAGAGGCTTTGATGCCCTCCCTTCCCAAATAAACACTTAATGTCTTACCACAGACCCTGTTGCCTTCCGCATACAAAGTACTATCTGGCTGGACTAAAATCTTGAGCCTGTTGTTATACTGTTATAGACAGCAAATCATTTCCAATCCATCCACTCTATCTTGGGTCAGTACTCCCTTTTTTAAAAACTAACTTTATCAGTACTCTTTTGATATACACAATGGTCACGTTCATCGTAAGGAGTTTGAACCTGTACACAACGTATCTTGATTCTTCTTTCCTTCCCCATTCCCTGCCCTCCTCTCAACCTTTCTTCCCCTCTCCATCTACAAAAGCTTTTTGTTTTGTTCTTTCTAGTCTCGGTTTCTTTTTCCTTTCATTCCCTTCCTCTCTCCCCGCCTTGTTCTCCTTCCTATTTGAACATCTTTCTAGTTGAACAGTATCTATCATCCATTGTGGTCCTTATTTATACTTTTCAGCAATGTGAAATTGAAGCATGTGTGTCCATTTACTTCACTTACTGTCACCCTGGGGAGATGGACAGGGCCTGCCCCCAGGACCAGCCTCCAGCCTTACTAGCCGTGGCTCTGAGGCTCAGCGCTCCCCGGGAGAGTGGAAATAACAATTACGGCTCCTCTGAGGGCCAGCAGCAAGAGCTCTGTGAGGAGCTGGGACAGGCAGGACTGGGATTCATGCCATTTGTGCCATACGTCAGCATATCGGTGCCAGGCGACCCCCAGCTAGAACTGAGCTGTAGGCCAAGAATCAGCCAGTGTTTAATAAGGTTCTTCTCTTTTCTCTAACTAGGAGATCCCGATTTGCACGCTGGTCTGGCCCAGCATCGCCGGAGAGATTTCATGGGATGTGTCTTTTGTTACTCTGAACTTCCTGGTGCCGGGGCTGCTCATTGTCATCAGTTACTCCAAAATTTTGCAGGTATGTTTGACTCAAGTGCAGTGCTGAACTTCACTAAGGACTCAGGCACTTCCACTGAAAATTTCCAGATCAAAAGACACCTTAGCATCACACCTGTCTAATCTTGATTCACTGACCAGTGCTACCTTGTCTGCAGTACTCAGAGTAACTATTTTTTTCTAAATAATGTGGTTATGGAGTTTTTTGCTCACTACTAAAGTAATACAAGCTCATTATAAAGAAATAAATTGAAAACAGACACAGAACTGTAAAGCAGAGAAACTAAACTCTACTCTACCTGCATTTAACAGCTCAGGTACATTTTTGCAAGTGTTCTTCCTGTATGTTTACACATGATCACAATATACTGTGTACGTGTATTTGATGAACCATGTGAAATTGCAGGTTAAATTGGCCAAAGAGCCATTAGCACTGCTCATTGTTCTTTTCAGACGTTACCTGCATCCGTAACTTGCTGTCTGCTCCGTAAGTCCCTCTTTTCCCTTCACACCATAGCCAGCGTCTTTCCATGCTCGTTCCTGTAACTGACCTCGTCACTTGTCAGGGCTGCATTGCTGTCCGTCATTTGAAAGCCGTATGATTTGCTGTGTGGACTTTTGGGCTGTGTCCACTGTCTCTCCAACACAAACACACCAGTAATCAAGAAGGTACACGTACCGTAAATGTAAATAATGTAAGTGTACCAACAGCAAAACACACCCCGCTTATTCATCCTGCTCACGAACTGAACACACTGATAAAGGCAGCTTTGGGATCCAGAAAGACAGCGTCGCCACAAGCCCCTTGCTCAGCGCCTTCTCCCTTCTTCCCGCCCCGGAATGCGCTTTTCAAGTGTCCCGTGGCCTAGGCAATGATGTCTGTTCTCAAACAACCACATGCTGCACAGGAAAAAGACAGTCTGCCTCTGCTTCCCACTCTTGTCTCAGCCCATCTGCAGGAAAGGAGGTGACCCGACAAACACCATGCACCTGAACCTAGGCGCCTGATAAAGGGTCACTACTGCCAAGCCCCAGCGTCTCTTGGAGGTGTGCAGCTGTTGAATTGTGGTTTCATGGCACATTACGTGTGGATTATCTGGTGAATAAGCTTATTGACGTGGAAAGATCTTGCTCAGCATCTGGTCCCTTTCATGGCCCTTTCTTTGTAGCTGAGGATCCGTAACCCTCTTAGATGTTCAGAGCTCAAAGCAAGGCCAGGGTCATCCAGGACCGCTAATCCCTGCTTCTGTGGGAGATGGCCCCCAGGCCCTCCTTAGAATCCCCCGACCAGATCACTTGAACCCCAAAAGGACCCCAGCCTGGGTCTTGCTCGAGGGTGGTAGACAGATCAAGTCTGGAGCTAAGGCCTGGAAAGTGCTTGCGGGAAGGGTCTGGTATATTTTAATATTATAAAAATGTTAACTATTATTAAAAGGAAAGACATGAGGAAAAAGAAATGCAGAATGAATAAAATTCACTTCAGAAACCTTTGTATAGTGTTTAACATGTACAAGGGATGAACTCATTTTGTCCTAAAAGAATTACAGATGAGAAAACCCAGGCACTGAGAAGTGATGTAATTTACCCAAGGTCATACAGTTCATAAGTGGCAGCTGAAATCAAGCAGTCTGGCCCCAGAATTTCAACACTTTAATTCGTCAAACATTGGTGAAGAGTCTACTCCTGGCAAGGGCCAGCAGGGAGTGGGAGAGGGCCATGGGTGTGGGCGTTCTCTAAGTGGGGAGACGGACAAGGCTGCTGCCACTTAAAGGAAGAAACTGTGGCACCAAGGCGAGAGCAGTGCAGAAACCGGGAAAACACTGCCCACCATGACACACCGCACGTGCATGCAGGGTAGAGGATGAGAGCAAAGGCCTCGGAGGCAGACGTGGAGACTTGACAGGGCGACGTGAAAAACCTGGCTTTGAGTCACACTTGCTGTGTGATCTTGGGTAAATTACTTGCACTCTCTGAGCAAAAGGGCAATCCTACTTCTAGGAGTATGAGGTTGCTGGGGAGCAGTGGGGACATTTAGCGTCTGCCTGGCCACAGCTGCAGATGAGAAAGTCTGCTCCTGTTACTTGGTAGGCCAGGCTACCGGAGACTGCCCAGTCTCTCTGAGCATGCTGGGAAATAGTGTCCTTGACATTTCTAAGAGAAGAAACAGCAGGCCAGGGCTTGGAGGCAGCAGGAACAAGGAGCAACACTGGACCAGGGCTGGCTGGAGGGGTGGCAGCACCTGGCCTCCCGTTTATGGGGTCACTCCTGAGTCCCACGGAGGCACAGAGCATCTGGCGGACCTCTTTTCTGTGGTGCCCCACACTTGTAAACCTCTGGTCAAGGAAGGAATGATTTCGCACCCACTCCTCCCTCGTACTCAAGCCTTGGGAACAACCTGAGGAGACCCACGGTTGGGTCAGGCTCCTTTTCTCCCCCTGCTGCTGACTGCAGCGCACCGTGCTCCAAGCACTGTGGCCCTAAACCCACAGACTCCTGTTCCTGCCACCCCACCTCCCCTACACACAGACCTCCGGATGGCTCCTGGAGGAAACAGAAAGTCTGCCGTGGCTCACTTTTGTAAAATGGTGCACAGACTAATGGATCAAAGAGAATTTAGATCCTGTGACTTCCTTCACATGGGCAGTAAAATAAGACTCCAAAAGTCCTACATGATCTGGCCCTACCTGATGCCATAACCTCATCTCCCCACCAGGTCCGGGCTGGCCTGGGACCTCCGCACACTTGCCAACACATTGGTGCCTCAGAGCCTTTGCACCCGCCATTTCTTCTCCTGCACTCTCTTCCTCAATTGCTGCATGCCCATGTCCCACTTGTTTTAGGTCCTTACTCAAAAAGACTTCCTCAGAAATACTCCTTGTCTTTGTCTGAGTCATTATATGACTGATTTCTCCCTGCAGCATATGTAACCCCTCGCATATTCCATTGAGGTGCATTCATCCTATTTTGCCCGCCAGATGCAAGCTCCAGGAGGGTCGAGACTTTGTTTCTTCCATTGCTGTGTCCCCATGCCTGGAATGCAGGTTGGCTCACTCATCGAGGCGCTCAACATTTGTTAAATTGTCACATCTCCAGGGGCTGCAGGGCCTTCTTTTCTTGGGCAGTGGAGGCTATCACTGACAAACACACTGGGGTCCCAGACCAAGCTTTATTACCATGTGAAGTGACTTGACTACTTCAGCCTTCAGTTTCCATTGGCACTGAATCCGCCTTGGTGAACTGCTTACTGCAATCAAATGAAAGAGAAAAACGTGATGTTTTAAAAAGCAAATAGGAGGCTACTGAAAAATGACTTTCTACCACTGAGTTTGCCAGGTGGGCCACTTGGGAGTGGGCAAGCTGCCTCCAGGTGAACGTGGCACCTGGGCAAGGCCTCGGAGCTTTCCTCTCTTCCCTCCTAAAGGGAGACATAACGCAGAGGCACTGAACCCGCTTTCTGCCCACACCTTTCCTGTCAAGAGCATGGCAAAGCCATTGGCCGCCCTGTTCCTTAGCCATGTGCACAGGACACAGAGCTACAGCCCCACTCCCCGCAGCCCGGCCTCTCACCTGCCTCCACCGCCCCTAACCCGGGTCCCATTGTCTGTGGGCCCGAAAGCCCCCTCTTACACTCGAGGAGCATCTGTTGTTCTAAGAAAGCAGTCTCTCCTGTGCTCAGCAGAGCTCTGCAGAGTGGTGGGTGTCAGGCGGGATTCTGGTGTAGGAGCCTAGGAGACACCTGGAGTTTTGCTAGAGGACTTCAGAGCCTTTGGCACACCTTGGAAACCCTCCACACAGGAATAGACCAAGCAGGCACACTGCTGAACCTGCCCACGTAGCTCCCTGATTCTCACAGAGTGTCTCTTTGGACGGTGCTTCATGGAACATCCTTTTGGGAGGCCTCGCTCTAAACTTCACTGCTGGCTCTGACCTAGGCGAAGATACAGAGCAGGCTTTGTCTGAGACGGTTCTCTCCTGCTGCCCTTCAGGAGCGGCTTCGTGTGCTCTGGATAATGGCCATATTTGCCATCTGCCTTCCCAGCTTCCTCTTTCTTTGTGACTCAGACATACCATACATTTCCAGTGGCTTTTTCCAAGTGACAGTTTTCCCAACAGAATGTGTCCGGATGACTCCTACTTTGTCAATCAGGCTCTCAGCACTTGCTGTTTGAAGTCTGATTTGCATCGTCCCCTAACAATCGTTGCCATGACCAGCCGAGAGGCCTCAACCCTTTGTAGCCACATATGTTTACATTTCCCCTGGTATCACCCTGTACACACCGCAATGGAAGTGCAACGTGTGCAAGGCTCTGTTGCTTATTACTGAGTGTTCACACCCTATGAGAATGCTTAGCATGTACTTAGGGCTCAGTGTTTGTTGATGAGCCAGTGAGGGTATGGCCTGCAGTTAGAAAACCCTCAGCCTATCTCAGAGCTTAACCGAAAAACAAAATTGGTTGAATACAAAGGCACTTGGCTGTGAACACTAAGCCATTTTTCCTTACCGCACCTTCATTCTCCAGCTCTGAGGGACTGTGTGCCAGTCCAGGGAAGGGAGGTGGACCTTCTGGAAAGATGGAGTCTGATGATTCTAACCAAGAGACTGCTGACTGGCCCAGGCTTCAGAAGCCTGACCTCTATCTGTGGGAGTCCCCTCCACCTGCTTCCACCTGGTAGCATCCCTGGCCTGGTGTAAGCACGGTAAACAGGGCACGGGTGGGAGCAGTTTCCTTCCTGGACTTCAGATGCTCATGGGGATGTAAAGCCAGCATTCCTAACAGGACAGTTTTAAAGGGATCCTTTCAAAGACCTGGGAGAAAGCTCCAAACAAAGCCTGTTGTCCTAAATAAACTCTTACATTCTAGTGACCATAAATCACTGGGGAAAGTTTCGGAAAGACTAGCCCAGAAGACTAGAGCAAGTCCCTTCACCTCTCAGAGCCTCCATAAAATGTTCAAAAACTGAGGTAAGTCCACAGGGTTGTTTGGAGGATTAGAGCTAACTCTCAGGAGTTAGTCAAGCATT